TTCATCCTCTCACAAAAAATTTTCCTTTCCAAGATTTTTTTGCGGATCGATTCATTTGAAATGGAAAGCCCCGCTTTTTTGGAGATTTTTAAACTCTATCTCCCGGCTCTTCACGTCTCAGATTGTCAACAAAATACACCGGTGCCAACTACACACTCGTTGGGCGTCGACACGTATTTCCCGAAAGTTGTTGAGACAATGACAAGTTTAGTCAATTTCGATTTCATGGAAAAAATGGGGCAATTCCCCGAATGTTATAACTTTTCTCAACTCACGCAACTCACCGAATTGAAACTATTCGCTAATTATAAAAGAACCAGAAAAATACTATTGCCAACGAGTCTTGTTTCTTTGTGTTCCAATTGTTTCATCGAAAACTCAAAGGACGTGATTGTTGAGAAGAAGAGAGGAATCACGAGTCTTCGACTCAAGAAGTTAACCTTATGTGAATGTTCCATTGACAAGATCCCCGAAGATATTATAGAAATCTCGATAATTAGTACTCTAACTCCAAAAACTCTCAAATTCACACGTGTCACACAACTCAAATTGTGTGATTGCAACGTGAAGAATTTGACCATTCCCTCCTCTTGTCAAGCTTTGACCTTGGAATGCACATCCCTACAGAATCTCTCCTTTATTTAATTGTATACTATTTGTTTTAATTCACCGCATTGAACTATAATATTACTATAAATAAACTAGAAAATAAACTAGAATGACCTTCGTGGTGCTGACTGTTCAAATCTCATCAATGCGCTGACAACTTGTAAATCCAACTGATGGAACGCACTTCAAAGATCCCCCAAGAGTACGTTGAAGATGTCGCAAACTTTTTAGATCAAGAGAAATACGAAGATTGCAGAGAGTACTTAATCAAGCATTATAAGTTAATAGATCGGAAAGTAGCCGATGGCCTTTTCGAAGATTCTCTAACCACTTTTGTTGAGTATCCTCCACAGTACGGCGCACGTATGGTTCGTTGCTCACAGATTTTGACTTACCTTTGCGACATCAAAGAAGCTACACATGGGCAACAAGACATCACCCTCTTCTTCTATCGACTC